ATAAATCAGATGTCGCCATGTATCAATGAAGAAAATATTAAAAAAACAGCAAAACATTATATTCAAAAAGGCAAATTATAGTTTCCTACTAGTTCAGCATTGAACCAATCGTGAAAAATCATTTTACATCAAAACAAAGAATGTAATGTAATTTTATTAACTATGACAAATCCAAAACTTTCTCAACTACCATTCATGCTGAATATTCTCTACAATAAGAAATTCACTTATTTATTTTTTAGATTGTTGATATCATCTTCATCAAAAATGACTGAAACAGTAAAAATAACAAATTTTTCAGTGAATTTTTATTGTAATTATTTATTTTTTTTCATAGACTACTGCAGAAAAACCAATATCAGTCCATTCACTTGTGTTTCGTTCACTTAAACGAACACATGATTTATTTCTTGCTAATCAAAATACACCTGTATTACCTGATGAAGAGGCGTATGTACCTATTAAATATTTACTTCTTTTTTACAAATAATTTCTATTTTAATAATAGAGATAGTATATCAAGAAAAATTAAAGCTAAGGATCAATATGGTACTGTACTTACTTTACCAAAAGGTATGAAACCACATGTAAAGAGTACAGTAGAAACAAATGAAGCAACAACTGAAATCACAAGTATATTTTCATTTTGTCTACTAAATTCTTCTAACTATTTTATTTATTTTTTCTTTAGATGATGGTAATAATAATAATTGATTTTTATTTTTGTTTTTGTAAACATTATAGTAATTATTAATTGATAGATACATCTCATAATACAAATGAAACAGTGAATGAACCTCTTCCAAGGTAAATTAAAAAATGATTTATAACTTTCTATTTTCATTTAATACTATTTATGGGTTTTAGTACAATGACAAATACTGACGTGTCATCAACAACACCAATGAGCACTGTATGATTGAATTTAATTAACATTATAAATTTTAGTGTGTCTTTTTTTTCTGTAGGCACTTGTTTTGGCAAATAAATCACAGCAACCATCAAATCAATTACAAGCACTTGTATCGAAAAAACCAGCATCAGTTATGCCTAAACCACAATGGCATGCTCCATGGAAATTAATGCGAGTAAGTTAAATGAAAAAAAAACAAATTATCAGTACTATAATGATATTTATTTTTAGGTCATTAGTGGACATTTAGGTTGGGTACGTTGTGTTGATGTTGAGCCTGCTAATGAATGGTTTGTTACTGGTGCAGCTGATCGTGTGATAAAAGTATTTAATAAATGATTTTTTTCTTTTGAAAAATGTAATCAAAAGAAATTATTTTTTTTTATTTAGATTTGGGATTTAGCTAGTGGTACACTTAAATTATCACTTACTGGCCATGTATCTACAGTACGTGGTGTTGCTGTTAGTACTCGACAACCTTATTTATTTTCTTGTGGTGAAGATAAGCAAGTTAAATGTTGGGATCTTGAATGCAATAAAGTAATTTGAAATATCTTTAAAAAAGATTAGTTTTATCATTATGATTATTTTTAGGTTATTCGTCATTATCATGGACATTTAAGTGCTATTTATGCACTTTCACTTCATCCAACACTTGATATTCTTGTTAGTTGTGGTCGAGATTCTGTAGCACGAGTATGTTTTATATGATCTTTTATTTAAATTCAATAATAAATTTTATCATATAGGTTTGGGATATGCGTACAAAAGCTCAAATACATTGTTTAACAGGACATACAAATACGGTAGCTGATGTTAAAACACAAGCAGCAGATCCAGAAGTATTATTTGATTTGATTTTTTTTTCATCATAATGGTTGACCCATAAAGAATTATACTGATAGTTTTGTTTTTTTTTGAATTTTCTTCTCTATTATCCATTCAATAGAAATCTTTTCTCTTATGAAAAAATAGTGCTTGAAATTCTGCATAAAATAGTATAATTTATATCACGTATACAATTTTGCTCAATTTTTTGAATTAAACGTAATCGTACAGAATGTAAAATATTCTCCTTTCCAAGTTTGTTGATCGAGCATTTTATTACGTCTATTATGGTTGCCTTTGTTATTGTTTGATTTCAATGTATCGCTTAAACAGGTTGATTCCATAGACTGTAATCTAGTGGACATAAATTCGATGAACTTGATGACTAAAGGTAGTTCGAAACGGATTCAGGAAAATGATCGGCATATCAATTTTATCTTAGATGACGTGTATGGATATGTTCAGTTGTCTCCTAATATTTTCTTGAAGAATTTTAGAGCTACTGAAAGAATGTTATTGATGTACCTTTCTGCATTCATTCTTTCACCTTTCACTATCATTAATACTGTCAGTTTTTGTCTACATACAATCTAACTGTATGATCAGTTTTACCGAGAATCTTGTTTTGACATGAACAGCGCCTTTCTTCTCAGTCTTTTCTCTGTTCACAGCTCGAATCCTGTTGTACTGATCTTTATAAGTAGTTTGTAGAATGAACTAATTGAAGTTATGTATTGGAATCACATAATAATAAAGGCAATATTAATAGGCGAAATAAATATTGTGTCGAAACACTCCAACAACAAAATATTTTACATTTTGTTCAATAACATTTAATCTAAGGAAATTGAAGAAAAGTGTATCCCCTGAATAAATTATATCATTTTGTGTAGGATTTCAAGCACTATCTTTTAATAAGGAAAAAAATTTCAATGAAAAGGATAATAGAAGAGAGAATTTAGTAATACTAATCATATAATTTTTTGTGTCATCTGTTATATTAATTTTATTCTTGATTTAGGTCGTTACTGGTAGTCATGATAGTACTATACGTTTTTGGGATCTTGTCGCTGGACGAACTTATTGTACCTTAACACATCACAAGAAAAGTGTTCGGTCTCTTGTTATTCATCCGAAATGGTAAAATCAATAGAAAATAACAAAAATTTATTGTTTATTTATTTATAAATTTAGGCATACAATGGCATCAGCTTCACCAGACAATATCAAAGAATGGAGATTTCCAAAAGGTGAATTTATTCAAAATTTAAGTGGTCATAATGCAATTGTTAACTCATTGGCTGCTAATGCTGATAATGTACTTGTTTCGGGTGGTAAGTTTATCAACGTCTTTTCTTTTGACTATGGAATCACTTGTTTTTATAGCGGATAATGGTTCATTATATTTTTGGGATTGGAAAACTGGTTATAATTTTCAACGTCTTCAAACAATTCCACAACCAGGTTCAATCGATCCTGAAATGGGTATTTATGCAATGACATTTGATCAAAGTGGCAGTCGATTAATTACATGTGAAGCTGATAAAACAATAAAAATTTATAAAGAAGATGAAACAGCGGTAAATATGATTGAAAGAGTTTTGATTTTATTTTGATTATAATGTTGTTGATTTAGACTGAACAAACTCATCCTGTTGATTGGGCACCGAATATTTTCAAACGCAAAAGATATTAACATTTTTTTTTGTTTTTTTGTTGTTGTTTATCATTTCTCTTTGTGTGTGTACAGTTTCTTGACGATCAAGAAAGAAAAAAAATATAAGATTCATATCATTATTCATTGTCTTCTTTAGATTATGATTACTTCGAAAATAATCAATTTATTTACGAGATCTTCTGATGTAAGTTTTACAACCGTGTTCAGAATATGTTTACGTTTAAGTAGAGCTCGTCGAGTTCAGAATTTTCGGACTCGAACCCGGTTGAACCATATTTTGATATTTTCAATCAAATTTTCTGATGAAAATTGGATAATCGTCTTGAAAATACGAGATAGTTTTGTCCAATTCTTTGTATTTGATGGCTAGCGCACTCTATACATTTCTCAGACGACTGGAGCCTGTTGGATCTAAAATTTTCAGACTCAGAAGTAGTTAACAGAATATTTCTCGATCTGGACTCGAAGCCAAGCCAACGGACTCGATGTTTGAGTCAGTTTTAAAATAGAGAAGACATTGGATTCTTCTTTTTTTTGCTTCTATGATTCTCAATATTTCAATGAATACAATTGTATATTTTCTATAGGTATTATCGATTCGATACCTCTCTTTATCAGCTATTAACAATGCTCGAGAACGTTCCTATCGTGTAGCTGATAAGAAAGGTTTTCATAATCGTGAAGATGTTAATTATGATATTCCTAAACAAGGAAAACAAACAAATTTTCGTGATCGTTTTCGTTATACAGCATTAGAAGAAGTTAAAATGGAACAAGGTACTCAACGATCACTAATCGAACCAATGATTGATCAAACACAACCACCACATAAATTTCATGTTGTTACAAAAATACGATCAACATATGGTGAAACCTTTTTTGTTAAAGAAGCACTTGCAAAACTTGGTTTCATTAGTTATGGTCGAAAAGTAAACATATTGTTTTATTTTTATTTTTATATTTGATGTGATTGGGTTTTTTTTTAGCAATGGGATATATTAACAGTGATCCTGAAAAATGTACCATCAGTAAATAAACATCTATATTTATGCAAACATATGGTACAGATAAAACCATTAGTTTTTATTGATGGTGTACCATCCTTAGATGATATCGGTTCGACGAAATTATTTCCACATAATGGACATTTAACTATAGGAGATCATTTTGATCTAAAACAAATGAATGTTTCAATAGATAATAATGACAAATGGTCAGTAGATATGAACTTTATTGTTGCACGTTTACATGCTGATCGAACTGCAAATCGTCTTCATGCAGAATATTTTCCAACAAAATATAATTGGTTTTTTGGTCAAGATATACCTGGTGTTAAACTAATACAGCCAGTCAATCCTGAGACTAAAGATACGCATCTAGAAGATCTGTAATTAGTAAACAAAGAAAATGTTTTTGATTTTGAGAGAGAAAGAAAAGATAAGAATGTTATGATTTGTTTGTTTATTTGTTTTTTAGAATACTAATAAAGATGTTTGTCTCATTGATTTATATTGAGCAAAGAAAAAAAAGATTTTCTTCTTCTATTATGAAATTAAAAATAAATGTCTTTTAGATAGTGTGATGCTCGAGTGGACATATGCAGGTATTAATTTTTCGGCTAAAACTACCGAACCATGGGCTGATGATGGAGGTATTGAATGTGCAGCACATTCAACATTACGTCAACGTTTATTTGAAACAATTCTTACAGTAATTGTTGCTTCATGTGAAATTTATTATGCAATTTATCATGGAAAAAATCAATTAGGAACATCATTTCCTCGTGAATATGCACGAGAACGTCAAGGACGACCAAGTGTCTTAAGACGTTTAGTACTTGTATGTTATGCTCTTTTATGGGGCATTGAAATTGGATTTAAATTAGCATCACGTCAACTTATTTATATACTTAATCCATGTCATATTGTCACTTTGATACAAGTAAATAGAAATTCTTCTTATTTTTTACTACTATTCTATAAACAATAGTAACAAGACAAGATGAGTAGGACTCGCGTTTTGAGACATTTTTACTGAAGGTTTTCCTGATTTTCAAGATACTTTCTGATTATTTCCCAAGACATTTTACAATGACTTGGGAAATTTGATTCATTTTTGTTACTAGCCAAGTGCGTGTTGGGACCTTTTGAGCATTTTTAATAACGGAGGTGGTAGTTATGTATTCAACTTTGTTAGTTAATTGTGTAAATTCTGTGAGCTTCAGTGATGAAAATCGAGTTTTCAAAAATCATGTGAAAATGATTATCACAAAAATGGACTTGATTGTGCATTATCTACAACGATTAAAATCTACAAAAGCATTTTAAAAAATTTTGCTACTGAAGACATCAAAAACATGAATCAACTTCTGAAATAAACGTGCAAAACAAAAGATAGTTTCTTATAGAAAGGACTAAGAAGAGGTAGACTTGTCTAGAAGCCTATAACAATTTTCGCTAATCAACAAACTCATGTCAACCATTTCTTGCTCTATGGTCTCTAGAGAAACCATTTTATAAATATTTGATTCTTTTGACTGTGAAACATTTAGAAAAAGATTTTATACTAACTTAAAATCTATCTAATGTGAACTTAAAATAAACAATCGGATTTTAATTTTTATTATAAAAATAATTTTTGAGGTATGTATGATCAAGTAGACTGAATAGGCGAGCATTATTTTTAGACACAACTACAGCATACGACATGAGTGTAATGTTCAGGCACTTACATGAATCACGTTATCGTGCCTGCTTAATTATAAATTTCAGAAATTTTTTCAAATAATAAAAGAATAACGACTGCATTACATATTTAAATTATTGGTACGTGCCGGGTTTGTTTCGAACTTTTTCTTAAGTATATTAGGAGCAACAAGATTGATATTGTTGAGTGAATTATCCTTTCGTATTGTCAGTTTTAGCTAAAGATAGGAAAGAGTTAAGTTCTGATTGGATTTATGTGTCTCTCTTGAAGTGCAATTTTTAGATGACAAATATATGAAAACAACAAAAGATTTTTTGTATCTACAAATTTTGACACTGATTTCGATGTCACAAAGAGTTTTGCATCTCCTATCTTTGCTATGTCTGAACGTCCTTTGAATTGGATCACATCTGTCTCCAATATTCCGAACTATTCCTTCTTGTTCTGACGTATCCATGTCGTTCTTCTTCAAAGGAATAAGCTAAACAGATACTTACTTATTCACATATATATTAAATTGTCCTTGGTATATTTCCAAATTTGTCTGATCTGATTTTCGTATATTACATACTTTGAAATGAATGTTTTCTAAAGTAAAACATTTAATTGAACAGAACTAATTCTTGACGAATACGATTTGTTGAGTTATTTTGTTGTTTAGATTATGCTCCTAACTTTCTCATCGAATTATTATACACGTGGACTCTATCGTTTACAGGCTGGCTTGTTAAATGGTGGTACACTGGCAATTTATTTTCCAGTGACATCAACGAGACTTTTTCCATTCGAAGTTGAACTTTACTATATTCAACATATTCTTATTTTAGTTGTACCAATTTTTCTTCTTTCATCTCATGGTTCATATATTGCAATAGATTCAATAAATTTCATAATTTGTTTTTTTCTTCTTCTCTTCATTTTTTAGGAGGTTATAGTCTTGAACCAGTTGGATCTTTTCGTTGGACAATATTAGCTATTGCTACACTTCGTCTTTATCATTATTTTGTATTACAACCAATTTCTTTAGTATGTATGCTTCGTTTTTTTGTTTCAAATTATTTTATAAATTTGATTCTTATTTGTTTAGTTAACATGGGTAAATCTCAATGGTGTTTTATGTCCATTTCAATTCGATCCATTTATTGGTCGATACTATCGCTTATGGGCTCATATACATCAAACATTATTTATGATAATTCATCATAAACTATTTTCTGTTGTAGCTCGTACTTGTATTCAATTTAGTATACGACGTATTATGTATTATATAAAACGACAACAACAAATGACTATTAGTGATATTTCTAAGGACAAGTAATTTATTGCAATAATTTATAAATTATTAACTGTTTTTTTTATTCATACAAAATCTAGTCTAATATGAAAGGATGTTTATTATTTTCTGTTGTAAATGTAGTCTGTTTTTGTTTTTCTTGCTTTTTTTTTAAAAACAGTGATCTACATGTGCATATTAAATAATTAAACGAGCAAGTTCTTTTTTATTGACTTTACCCATTGCATTTCGAGGTATATGATCAAGGATAGTTATAGAATCTGGTAAAGAATAATTTGGTAAATATTGTTTAGAATATTGACGTATTGTATCGATTGATAAATCAGCGATATTATTTAACGATTTTGGTACAATAATAGCAACTATTTTTTGACCTAATGTTGAATCATCAATACCAATCACTGAGCATTCCGAAACATCTTTATGTTCTAATAAAATACGTTCAATATCTAATGCTGATATTTTATAACCAGCACGTTTAATTATATCCATTGATTGTCTACCACGAATGGAGAAAACATTTTTTTCTGGGTCATAACGACAAATATCACCGGTCTTAAAAAAACTACCATCTGTTGTAAATGTAGCACGAGTTTCATTACGTTTTCGCCAATATTCTTTAAATAAAGTTGGACTCTGAATTAAAAGTTCACCTTCAATTGGTTCATCTGTATCTTTAAAAAAGAAACATCGATAAATGTTGAAGTTTTTTCAATTCCAACAAACCAACATTTCAAACATACTTTTTATTTCTACTTTAGTATTATTACTATCAGCTTCTAATAATGTTTCATAACCCATTGGTGATAATGTATTTTCTCGTGCAATTCGAATAACAACACCAGGCATCGGCCGACCAACAGTGCCTAAGTATAATTAAAATAATTATTATGTAGTTTGACGAAAAATCGAAACTTGGGTAAATCAAAATTCGGAAAATCAGTATAGAAATTTTAAAAATCTAATGAAGGAAGCTCTCAAACTGATAAATCACTTTTGATTTGAGACTATATATATTATGTAGATCCAAATGAGCTATGAACACTCTGAAAAGAGTTCATGCTCTTCGTTTATTACTGTAGAAATACTGCACCTTTACCGTGTTTTTTTAATGAATGCCGTGATCATTTCAAGAACATCAAACAAACTATTTTTCTAATTTGAACTTGAAACTTTGCATAAAGATAGACATTAATGACAATAGCTTTTCATGAGTACTCCAGATCTTGTCAATGTTCTTATCTTAAGATACAACTATGGTAATATAATGTCTCTTATATCGATCATGCAAAAACGATATACGTATTTGTTATTTTTAATTCATGATAGAAACAAATAAAAAGATCTGAAGCTTTCACAATAAACTATTCTCATTAAGACCTATCTCTATGCACAGTTTCAAGTTGAAATTTAAAAAAAAAACAGTTTTCCTGATGTTCTAAAAGGGAACCACAACATCGATTTAAAAAATGGCGTAAAAGTACAGTATATGCACAGTAATAAACTAAGATAATGAGCCCTTTTCAGAGTATTCAGAGCTCCTTCGGATCTACATAATGCCCATAATCTAGAGTCAAAAGCAATTGAAAAGTAGAAGAATTTTTGTTGTAATTATATTCTCTATTTGTTCTTTGTAACTATAAATTAAACCTGGAATTCTTTCTCCATTCAATGGATTCGTCAATGCCATTCCACATTCTGTCATTCCATAACGTTCAAGAAGACTATGACCAGTTATTTCAAACCATCGTCGATGAATACTTTCAGGTAATGCAGCTGAACCACACATCATTAAACGAATCATTTGTAAACATTGTTCACGGACAAAATCTCTTGTTTGAGGACGTGATGCTAATTTAGCATCATAATCATGAATAAGTTTTGAATAAATTGTTGGTACAGCTGTGAAAACTGTTACATGTTGTTGAAAACCAGGTTGAACTAGATATTCCCATGCCTAAATAAATAAGAGTATTTTGAAAAAAAAATTAGGCAAATAAAAATAATAATATTTTTTTTTCAATCACCTTGGATGCATCAAAATGTGGAAGCATGATGATTGTAGCACTAATAAAAAGTGGAGTTAATAGTGCATTTATAAGGCCATGAACATGATGAAGTGGTAAAACATGTAATATAACTAAATATTACTAATAAAATAAATTTATTCAAAAATAAATTTTACCATCATCTTTTGTCCATCCCCATGCTTTTATCATTGAATCAACATGTGCTTGAACAGCATCAAATGTTAATACACATCCTTTTGGTTTACCACTTGTTCCACTTGTATATATAATTAAAGCATTTGATCGTTCAGTACGATCAATTGTTGTTGATAATAAAAGATCATCATTAATATCATCATATGTAACTTTTGCTGATAAATTTTTTTTATTGATATTTATAATAGGTATATCAATTTGTGAATTATTTTCTAATGTTGTTTTGATTAATTCATTACTTCGATCATCACCAACAATGACTCCTCGACATTGTGCATCATTAAGAAAATAAGCAAGTGATGAAGGTGGATGTTGTAATGATAGAGGAACTACAGTTGCGCCAACCATCCATGAAGCCCACATAGCAATAATAAATGAAGCATCATTTGGGCATAAAATACCTAATTGTACATTACGTTTATCAAGTCCATCATCAGTTAATTTCTGTTGTTGTTGTTGCTGTTGTTGGCAAAGTGGGACAAGACGACGAGAAAGTTTACGTGAAAAGGAATAAAGTTGACCATAAGTATATGAAGATGAATGATCAATTAATGCTACTTGATTTGCATGTTGAGAAACCGATTCATAATAAATAGGACGTGATGTAGATGATAAACGAAATGAAGGTTTTATATAAAAAATACATTTACGTATTGAAAGAAGAGCAAAACGAGAATATATCATCTGTAAAAGAAAAGTTCGTTTTTAACGTAAAAATCTATATTATTATTTATTTAAACTTTGTTGTGAATGATATCTTTTATGAACATATTTAAGTGTTGAGTCTTTACAGAATGTTCAATGAAAACAATTTCATCAGATTATTTTGAATAAGTCATATATTTATATATATATAATTATTGTCTAATGAGCGATGCTCCCACTTTGCTTGTTGACCATGAACATGTATAAAAAGTAGTCACATACTAGCATATTTGCTGCTAAGGATTGTCTCTATGATTTCATTTATCTTTGTCAATCATCTTGCTAACATAAACTAACAAAGCGATTGACAAAGATAGATGAAAGAAAGAAAGACAGCCGTTAGCAGTAGATGAGCTAGTATATATCTACTTTTTACTTATGTTCGTGGCTAAAAAGCAATTCGGAAATATCACTTGTTAAAAACTATCTGATTTTTATGGATACAAAACCTATCGATGTAAACTTGTGATTTTCTATATTATTAATAGTAAATCTATCTATTGCTTTATGTTGCAAAAAAATATACAACAACGTCTTAGTGTTGCTTTTTATTATAAAGAAGGACAAAATAAAATAATACTAAGATGATAAATTAAAATCTATTAAATAATAGAAACAAAAAGACTAAAGTCACAGGATAATCATAAGTAAATAAATTGATTTATTTTTTGTTGTTTGATGCCGGTGGAAAAAGCTTCGCAATTAATTCTTTTTTATTGACTTTTCCAACAGCATTTCGTTCAAGTTTATCAACAATTTTTAATTGTGTTGGACATTGATAAGCAGGTAATTTCTTTTTACAATAATCTCGTAACTGTTCAAGTGTTAAATCTTCCTCTTTTTTACCCGATTGAAGTACAACAACAGCTGTAACACGTTCTCCCCATTCTATATCTTTTACACCAATGACTACACATTCACTAACAAGTGGGTGACGAAGAATAACTGCTTCAATATCTAATGCTGATATTTTATAACCACCAGACTTTATAATATCAACAGATGATCGACCAAGTATACGAAATGTTTTATTCTTTTTGTCATATTCAGCCATATCTCCTAAAATAAGAGTAAATCGAAGCTGAATTTCTCAGTCCTTAGAGTAATGATTTGATTGGGCAGTTTTCAATCGGTCTCATTCGATGATCTTTTAGCTTGGGTTCGTTTTCATTATGGTCATAATTAGTCATTTAAAGAATTCATTTTCGAACAATCATTAGTTGAGCAGAACTTAACTAATATAACTGCGAAACGTTCTTTCTCAAATGTCATATAAATAACAGCTCTTCATTGCTAGTTACTACTTTTATTAAATCTAACTCTCAAAGTCCATAGCAGAAAAACATGAACTGAGAATATTCTTTGCATACAAAACTCTTTTAAAGGTATTGAGAACATGGGTCATGAATCTTTAACATCACTGAATACGGCCAGTCTTCGATCACTTTGGTTGGAGCCAAACTGACTTAATGGATGCAAAAAAAATTCATTTTTTTTGTTTTTCTCCAAATCAATTTTTGCACAAAAAAAATTGTAGAATTGCCTCCATTTTCTCGACAAAGTTTCTTCAATCGAGCTGAAACTTTCTTTAAAATATACTATATTAAAAACTATCTGAAATGCCTCATTTTTTTTTTACAGATTTTGCAAAAAAAGCCCTAAGAGAAAATAACATGTATTTTTGAAGTATGCTCAGTATTTTTATTATTGTATTCAAATGGAAAAAGATAAAAAGAAACCGAAAAAAGTAGCTACTCCACGCAGTGTCTAGGGTCTGTAAAAGAATTCCAGCTGTATTGCGATTCAGATTTTTCCGAGAAGGAATCATTTGTGCTCTACGTATCAAGATCTATCTATCCTGAAAGTTTGAAATATTGTTGATGAACCATTCTTCAGAACTTCGAAAAGCAAAAAGGAGACCCCTTGAACAAAATGACATATGAAGAATCATTGTTAAGACGCAAGTATTGAAAAAGAAAGATGAACAACAAGTAACATGCAATTCACAATTGCATATTGTAATGTACTTGTACTTGATTATCAAGACTTACCATTAACAATTCTATACGGTAAAGTCATGAAAACAAAATTTTTGAAGAAGTAAAAACGAACAACTTAATTATTTTTATAACACATATAACATCTCTGTGTATTATAAATTTTTTTTGAAACTTTTAAATTTTCTTGTTATTCTTTATTGTATAAGCTATTCTCTAAAATATTTAATGCTTTAGATAAATCATTTGAATTGATAGTATTAGGACTGAACTAACAAATCATCGAATAGGACCGATTCATGACAAAGTCATATAATTACGTTTTAATGTTTTTTTAACTGATTACAAAATGGATTATCTCCTAGAGTTTACTAACAAAGAACTCGATATTTACCCATCATATAGTATCCATGAGAATCAAACGCTTTTCGCGTAGCTTCGTCTTTATTGAAGTAATATTTGAATATTGCAGGACCTTTAACACATACTTCACCTTCTACTTTTCCATCAGTGTCTACATAAACAATGCAAAAAATTTTCTATCAAATCATCAATTTCTTATCTACGAACCTTGTTGCACAATGTTTACTTTATCATAAGTACCTTCAGCTACAATTTGATCATTGTTATTTTCATCTTTTTGTACTAAACGTACTTTTAAATCAGGCATTGGAAGGCCAACTCGACCTAAGATATGACTAAAATTTTGTAATATGTTAAGTTAAGAAATATTTTTTTTACCAGCTAATTTTTTTCCTTCAAGTTTATTCGATAGAACGCGTCCCGTTTCTGATGAACCGAATTGTTCAACAATTTCAAAGCCTGTTAATTCAAACCATTTTTGAAATACAGATTCTGGTAATGCTGATGAACCAGAGAGGAAAAGTCTACAAGTAAAAAAAAAGTCAACAAAACTCTTCTAAAAATAACGAATCTCTCCTTTTTCATACCGTATATGATTTGAACATAATTTTTTTACATCTTTTATTGATGAATTTTTAATATGTTCAATTAATTTTATATAAATTGTTGGTACAGCTGAAAAAACATTAATTGCTGGATTACGATCATTGAGTAAATGATCCCAAGTCTCAAAAAAAAAAAAAAAAGAAAAACATTTTTTTAATTATAAAAATAATATTGACTAGTTTTAATACCTGTTCAACATCAAATTTATTCATCATGACTACTGTGCCACCAGCATAGAGTGGTGACATAACACAATTTATCATTCCATGTACATGATGAAGTGGAAGAACATTTAATATTGTATCATTTTTTGTTAAACGCCAAGCCGAAAGCATTGCATCCATTTGTGCACGTAATGTAGCTATTGTATGAACAACACCCTAACTATTTTCATATGTATTTTACGAAAAGAATAATAATAAAATTTACTTTTGGTTTGCCTGTTGTTCCAGACGTATATAAGATAAGAGCATCATCAGAATTTGTAGAAAAAATATCAAATTGTTTTTCATTAGATACTTGAATATTTTGTTTTGTTTTACTTAATTCAATATCTTTATTTGTAATTATAATCAATGGTATTTTAAATTTATCAGCAAGTGGTCGAAGTAATTTTTCATATTCAGGTGATACAATTAAATGTGAACATTTAGCATCATCAACATAATAATCAAGTAATGATTGCGGATGATCTTTACAAAGTGGAATACATATTGCACGTGAAAGCCAACATGCCCATTGAGCAACAACAAATGATGCATCTGGATTGCAAAGAAAAGCAATACGTTTATGAGCCGATTTTTCTTTGTCATCAGTTACAGAAAGAAGTTTATCACGTAATTGAACACTAGCTGAAAGAAGATGTGAATATGAATATCGACCATTGGAATCAATCACAGCAACTTTATTAGGACTATCAAGTGCTGAACGATAGACACTGCGACAAGATAATGATAAAAGATTTTTTTGATTGAAAAAACGAAGAAATGGTTGTCGTAACATTAAAGAATATTTTAATAAAGTCAAATTAAGAGACAAAAACTAAAATGTTCCTAATAAATATCTGAAACAGACTACAAGTTTAATATATTCATTGATCTAAAATACTATTTTAAAAACTTCTAAGTTCAATACTGAAACATTGTTCTATAATAAAATTCTTAGATTGATGTTGTTCAAAGTAGATGTAGCAAAACTCGTAAATAAATTTGATTATTGTTGATTAAAATTCTAGAATTTTAAGCAATTCTGTAACAAATATGAATTGATTGCATTTACTTTTATATTGATTATATACTATATTTATAACCGAGCACATATAAAAATAACTGCTGATAACAAATCTTTAAATATTTTGAATAAATTTTCAGCAAGATTTTTATTGGCTATTTCTTCTGATCCAATCCTAGTGCCAATAAACGCAGTAGGTGGAATCAAAACAAATGAAATACAAATTAAGACGTTGAATAGTATTCTTATTTTTCATGTTTTCAATAAATACGTATGTTCTAGGGAGTATTCGTTTTTAATTAGCTGCAAAACTACAAAAGAATTTTCTTTTATTGAAAAATAAATTCAAATTTTCGCTTGCATTAGGAAAGCATGGCACTTACTTGTTTTCTTAGCCAGACAAAATAGTAATATCCACTAATCTATATCGTAGTGTATGTACCAATGTCTTCGATGCCGACATTGGAAAATGATTTACGAAAACAATTCTACGTACAAATGAATTAATATTTTATATTGTTGACCTATGAAATTGCGAGAGCAGATAGTTATTATTCTACTACAGGGAATACACAAGC